GGTGTTTACTTATTGAATGAATCAGCTTTTTGAACGAATCGGTTGAATAAATGATTCCGTGATTCACTCATTAACAGAGTTAAATGCTTTGTTCCTGAATGAATTAGCCGTTTGAACGAATCTGTTGAATCTCAATGACTCACTCATTAACAGTCATTTGCTGTCACCTACTGGCAGTTTTAATTTCACATTTCGACAATTTTTTTCATGTTTAAAATCATTTCAAATATCAGTATTCAATGTTTGATGTTAAAAACAAAACATTATTTATCCATCTATAACTGCAGGTTAAATGCATCCATGTCCCCTTAAACTGTAAATACATCTAAATGCTATTTCTGATGCAGATTCCAGAAATGTTTTCTTATGTTGGAATGAAAGACACATTTTTATTTGCTTCTTTTCCATTTTGCATTTGCTTGTACTTTTACTTTCAATACTTAAGTACGTTTTAATTTTCGTACTTAAGTATAATAAATATCACATACTTTAAGACTTTTTACTCAAGTAATATTCTAAACGGTGACTTCAACTTCTACCAAAATAATTTTCTGGTAAGATATCTGTACTTTTACTTGAGTATAGCTTTTAGGTACTTTATACACTACTGAAAGTATGTACTCTTTTGGTGAAGAAAAAGTACACACTTTTGAGTGTGTAGTAGAGGCAAGCTTTGGGACATACTACACTCTAAAAAATGCTGGGTTGTTTCAACACAACTTTGGGTCAAATATGGACTAACCCAACTTTTGGGCTAAAAATGTAATGTAAAAATTTAACCCGAATGTTGGGTTAGTCCATATTTGACCCAAAGTTGGGTTGAAATAACCCAGCATTTTTTAGAGTGTATCATGTCATACCCGACTGTTCTGTCACATAGTTACATGCATCCTGTCACTTTAAACTGGCCTGTCAATCATCTTGTCACAGTTAACATCCTTCACATTTTATTTAACTTCCTACTGTATTGGAGAGAAAAGAAAGTAGCATGTTAATCTGCCAGCCATGGGTCTTTATGTGGAGAACACTGCTCATATTTTTGTATAATGATGCATTTAAAAGTTAATTGCCAATCAGATGTTTATAAAAGTTCACGTTGTTGCAGATGAGAAATAACACAGATAACATTAAATAAATATTTTTTACCAGGTTAAATGTTGATTATTAGTAACTCAAACCCCTTAATCTAAACACACACATCTGCCATGTTTGTAGTTTTTTTTTAAAGCTTTTTATTCGTGTTTGTAGTTCTGAATCAAATCATTCACCAGAGCGCAATGGATTGTGGGCAATATTAGCCATTAGAGTGTGCACAGATCCACACTTCAAAAATCTTCCTGAAATAGTAGACAATCTGGGGACTTTTGGCATACGCTTTTCAACATACTATGCTTTGGCACACACTTATTCTGATCTCACATACCATTTAGGATGGATGGCATGAACACTGGGATGTAGGGATTCGTTGTTTTGTTAATGAATGAATCAGCGTTTTTGACCAAACCAGTTGAGTGAATGATTCAGTGACTCACTCATACAGACATTCACTTGTTTTGTTAATGAATGAATCAGCGTTTTTGACCAAACCAGTTGAGTGAATGATTCAGTGACTCACTCATACAGACATTCACTTGTTTTGTTAATGAATGAATCAGCGTTTTTGACCAAACCAGTTGAGTGAATGATTCAGTGACTCACTCATACAGACATTCACTTGTTTTGTTCATGAACGAATCAGTGGTTTTGAAAAAAAATGTTTGAGTGAATAATTCATTGTCTCATTTATAAAAACAGTGGCTGCATCTGAATATGCATTCTTCCCTGCTATTTAGTAGGCAAAAACAGTATGTGAAAAGAGCAGTATGTCTGAATTTACAGTATTGATAGAACAGTAGGCAAAAAGTACCTGGGTGACTTCTGCTGAATTTCAAAGTATGAGGCCATGGGAGATGATTTGTAAATGGCACTGAAGCATCATGGCGAATTACATTGTGAGTATGCAATTTTAGATGCAGCCAATCACTTAATGAATGAATCAGTGTCTTTGAACAAATGTGTTGAGTGAATGATTCAATGACCTACTCAATGACAATAGTCTTGTTCGAAGTGCATCAGCGCTGTGCAGACCGATTGGAGTATGACATCAAAGCGCCAAGAGAGCGATTGGACAGCAGATGACTCTTTTATTTTTTTTAACTGTTCTTGCGGTACTTTGATGTCATAGACCGATCGGTCTGCGTACCGCCGATGCATCTAAAGCAAGCCTATTCACTTGTTTTTGCTCCTGAATGAATCAGTGCTTTTGAACAAATTGGTTGAAGTAAATGATTCAGTGACTCGCTCTTAAAGTCACGTGTGGCTATCTAGTGGCATATTGATGTAACTGTGATTTAACACAAAATTGTGTTTTTGATGAAAATATAGGGATGTGACCAGATCTCGTGGCGCGAGATCCGGTGTGTCTAACGTGCCGATATCCTTGCAAAACAATTTGCAGTTTACATTAGGGCTGCACAATTAATTGTACTGGGATAAAAGTTTATAGTTTGGTTATAAACACTTATTCTCTTCAGTAGCGATCAAAATGAAAGTATCTTAACACTTGTATGTATTGTACCGCTTATACTCTTCCGCCAGGAGGTGGCGACAACTGCCCGTTTAAAAAAAGTATTTGTCATTGAATCATTCATTCAGGATATTCCGATTGTGAAACAGGTCGTTATGAATTGAGACACTGACTCATTCATTGAATTTTATTTTAATTTTTTTCAAATTAATATATTTTTTAAAGACTTACATGTTGTCAGAACCACTAGTAAATTATGTTATTTTGTTTAGTTTTCTAATCTTTTTTTCTTCAGAATCGTGAGAGAATCGTGATCTCCAATTTATATATAAAAAACATGATTCTCAATTTATCCAGAATCTTGCAGCACTAGTTTACATGTTGTTTATTGCAGTATATAATTCATTCAAATAGAAGTTTAACTGCATAAAGCACAAGTTGATTTCAAAATGCACCTACTTTTTTTCCATTTTGTGTTTTTCTCTTGAATAAAAGACTATTTTCCCTAAATATTTCATCATTGAGGATTTCTTTAAAAAAGTCTTAAAATCTTGTCTCGTCTCGTTCTCGTGAACCCAGTCTCGTGTCTCGTCTTGTCTCGTGGGATAAGTGTCTCGTCACACCCCTAATATTTATATATTAGATCTCATTAAATGTTGTATATCTAATATTCCCTGTGGAATACAAAGTCCTCAATGTTTTTATATGTTTTGTCATTATTTGGTCCACTACTTATTGATCAAAAATAGAATTTTAGATGAACACTGTTAATCTGAGTTTGAAGAGATGGATCGTAAGCCTGAAGTTCTGTGTTTCTCTACAGATAGTGTCGAGGATGAGCTGGAGCTGTCTGCTGTGCGACATCGACCAGAAGTTTTGGAGCAGCTGGAGGCTCAAACGCGTTTCTCACGCAAAGAGCTTCAAATCCTCTATCGGGGCTTTAAGAATGTGAGTTAATGCTTTTGACTTCAAAAACAGAGTTAGATTTTTCTTTTCTTTCATATCGAATTCGATTGCATTTAGAATTTAGAAAGATTCTTTTTCTTTATTATTCCTTTTGAATGTTGGTTTGATGTGGAACATGCCAAACGTTGCAGGAAAAACTATCACGCTTGCTAAAATAATCAGGTCAGCAAAGGTCTCTAGAGTGTCCCTGAGGCATAAATGTCCTTTCTCACCTCTGGTGCACAATGTAATGAGACAACACCGAATTAACTCGACCCAAATTGTCAGGTGACAAGCGTGAGAGTGGCACAATGGTCCTTTATTATCAGACTCTCAAGAGGAGATATCAGAAGACTGTAATCCTTCCTTCAGACCACACACACACCGCTGGCAGGTGATGACTGCACTGAGGTTTTCTAGCACCCTCAATATACTGTCTTATACATTTTTCCATGTGGTGTCCCAGATACTGTAAATGTTAAACTACTGTTTTCATTTTTTTATATTTCACATTTATTATCACCTGCCATTTCCACTGCTTTTGCTTCTTTTTCTTGGATTTTTAACTATCAAGTTCTAACATCCTTCAAAAGAGATTTAATTAGTAAATCATTGTCAAGGGTCCTGTCCCAAATGCTGCCCCAAGCCCTCACGTTCCTCCTCTGAATGCACACTTTTATGATGTAGTTGTAGGGCTGAGCAAATGGGCACATCGAGGGCACATCGGGGGCACGTAAGCTTTCTTCTGGAACCTCAAATATTGAACTGGCCACCCTACGGTCTTGTGAATTTCACAGACTTGCACACGCAACAGTTATTGTAGGTGTGCAACACCTCATCAAGTGTGTCATGTGGGACAGGCCTAGCTCACTATAGCTTATTCTCATTTTGCTTTGTTGGCCCACACTGGTGTTGCTATTATCCTGATTACAGCAGAAAAACTTACAAAGTGATAAATCATTTCCACTTGAGTCCATGTAGTCTTTGAGCTGTTATAACTGCCATTAGAAAGGGTTTTCTCTTCATCCATTAACATCTTTTTCTGTATTTCAAAGGATGCCAGTGTTTGTCAGAGAGAAAAGGGTCCATATTGCTTGTGTTTGTTCATTTATTTATTGGAAATAGACAGAGACAGTGCTGCTTTTATTCCTCCTTAGTTCTCAGCATCGCTTTTGTTTGTATTTATAAATTCTAGATCTATGTATCTTTGCTAATTATGTAAAAAAAAAAAAAGTCTAAAACACTGAGGAAGTAATCATGCATTCATAAACTTTTATTCAATTTTTTTCTTTAGAAGAAATTAATATTTTTATTCAACAAGGATGCATTAAATTGATCAAAAGTGAAAGTAAAGACATTCATAATGTCACAAAAGATTTCTATTTGAAATAAATGCTGTTCTTTGGAACTTTATATTCATCAAAGAATCCTGAAAAATGTATCACGTTTTTCACAAAAATATTGAGCAGCACAGCTGTTTTCAACATTGATAATAAGAATTGTTTCTTGAGCAGCAAATCAGCATATTTGAACAATTTCTGAAGGATCATGTGACACTGAAGACTGGAGAAATTATGCTGAGAATTCAGCTTTGATCACAGGAATAAATTACATTTTAAAATATTAAAATAAAAAAAATGTTTTTTTAAATTGTAGTAACATTTTACAATATTATTGTTTTTACTGTATTTTTTATCAATTAAATGCAGCTTTGATAAGCGTAAGAGACTTTCAAAAACATAAAAAAATCTAAACCCCAGATTAAACTAATTTAAAGGGATAGTTCACCCAAAAATGGGTGACAGTAGCCATTGATTTCCATTATATGGAAAAATGCTATGGAAGTCAATAGCTACCATCAGTTGTTTGTTTACCAGCATTTTTTCAAATCAGTTTTTAAATGGTACTTTTTCTTTTGTTATCACATCAAGGGCATCAGAACTGCTGCCTCAAAAAAATACAAATAAATAAATAAAAATGAATCAGCAATCAAAAACCAAATATGGCTGAGAGAGGTTTGAAAATGTTTGGGAGAATTCGACCTTGTAGATCAGTGAAAGTCATGCAAAATAATCTGTTCGTAGTGGATTTTACAGACGAGGAGATTTCATTTTATGAGAGATGGTGGTCATATTTTTCTTCTTACTAGGTTAATTACACTTTACAAATGATCAGGACCTAAATTAAACTTGATTATCTGCAAATTAGCTGAAAAAGAAAAATGAGCTGAATCTGCTACTATCAGAGTATTTCAGAATAGCTTCGGCTTCATTCAGACTTTTTCATTTGTGTTATTTTGGTTGTATTATCCTATGACTCCCATAAATTATTGGTAAACTGAAACCAGAATATGCCAGATATTCTGTCCCTGATCCTCAGTGTGCTGTCAGTGAATGAGCATGCTTCAGCAAGCTGAAAAAAATCTTGTAATTACAGTCTGTGTATCTTAACAGTGTTAATGAACCCTGCATTGCTCCCGGAGTTTTTGATAATGTTGAGAAGACTTTGGCAGTGATGGTTTCCCTTACGAAAAAGACGTTTATTAAATGTGCTATTAGACCTGTGTTCGCACAACTGATCCTGAGACTGAGCGAGTATGAGCCAATCGTCGAGGTAGTTGAGAATGTGAATACCCTGTTCTCTCATGGGAACAAGGGCTGCCTCCGTAAGTTTCGTGAAGACATGGGGCGACAGGGACAGCCCGAAGGGCAGGACCTTGTACTGGTATGCCCGCCCCTCGAACACGAACCGCAGAAATGGCCTGTGGCGCGGAAGGATCGAGACATGGAAGTATGCGTCCTTCAGGTCGATTGGGTGAGTGTGATACGGCTCTGGATTGTTCACAACCCCCCGTCCCCTCAGGGGACCCAGAGGTAGACAAAATTGCTCTTTTGTCGAGTATTTTGGTACCTCTGACCGCGAGGTTCTCCGCCCGGCCCTCCTCCGGGGGAGGGAGTGGTGCGTTCACCATCTCCCGATGTAGTTTGTACTACTGTAGATACTTGGTCAGGAGCAGAACGATAGAACCGCTCGGCTCCGAAGTGAAAAGCTGAATATGCGCTGCATCTGCTGCCTACTTATACTCGCGCTGTGATCAGCGGCAGCTGGATGCAATAATCGCATGCCAATGTGCATTGGCTCGTTTAGTTTACACTCGAAGTAGATTGGTCTCTCTAAGCGAGATCCCAATTCGTCGGTCATCCGACGTGACGTCGAGAGTGACCGACTGAAAGGGAACTTACGAGTATATTATAAAACTACTAAACTAGTAGTTTACTGAGACTATACTTCAAAGTGTACTACAAGTATTTAATTAGTAAACTATCAGTATACCTATAAGTTCACTTTTAGTATAGTTGCAGTACAAGCTAAAAACATTGATGTAAACTAGTTGTGTACTCAAAGTTTACTACTGTTATACTTAAAGTATATTTAAAAGTATACTTTTATATACTAGAAAGTGGGGCAATTTAGTCCCAAGGAGTATTGAAATAGTACACTTACAAGATACTACTAGTACACTGGTATTTGTATACTTACTACATAAAGTATACTTAAATATATACTTGAACTTTACTTAAGTATACTTAATAAAATCAACTTGAAGTATACTACTTTTTGGTAAGGGTTCTGATGAGATCGGTGTGTCTCTTAAAAGGTCATTACACGGAGTCTCTCTCACGCTGCTTGCACAAGAAACAGTGGATGACAGCTACACAAAACAATCCCTTTTAATTAACCAGAGCTCACTGTAACACCACAGAACTTTCTCAGACACAGCCTTTTTATGTCAAAGATGTGAAGTGCTGGATTAGACAAAACAACTTACTGTAGGTCTTCTTTCATGAACCAGAGCCCAAGGTAATTGGTGGTGCAGAGGACACATTTCAGACTGGTTTTGTTGTTATTTATAAAAAAAATTCTGGATGTGGAACAGTTGGTGAATCACAGTTTAAACTTGTATATTATGGCAATATACAGTGAGTCTTTGGAAATGTTATCTTAAAAAAAATAGTTTAAATGGAAAATGAAAATTTGCTGAAAATGTACTCCCCATCAAGCCATCCAAGATGTAGATGAGTTTTTCTTGATTGGAAATTTAGCATTACATCACTTGCTCAGCAATGGATGCTCTGCAGTGAATGGGTGCCGTCAGAAAGAGTCCAAACAGCTGATAAAAACATCACAAGTAATCCACACCACTCCAGTCCATCAGTTAACAGTTAACAGTTATCTTGCACTTAACAATAACAATAGCACTTCCTCCAAAACCAATTCCCTGTTGTCCTCTCTTAAACCTTTAAATGGAAATTTATGTCAATATCTACTCACCCTCATGTTTTCCACAGGAACACAAAAGGAGATATCAAAATGTTAATTCTGCTCTTTTCTAAACAAGAAAATGCAGGAAATTTATGGTGATCATTGACTGTTACATTAAATTGTAAATTAAATTAAATGTTTTTACATATCAGGCATTGATGCTAAGAACTATTAAGCTGTTAAATTATCATTATAAAGTTGTAAGATGTACTTTTGATGGTAAAATGGTATTTATCTTGTCTTTTAGAAAGAATTTAGCATTGTGTGATTGCATTGTACTGCGATTCAGTCCATTTTTTTAGACATTTTGAAAACAGGAAGATGAAGTTTAGTCCCCAGAGCCTGTTTATGTTCTAAATGTAAATGGGAAGATGAAGATGAACTGAATGTGTTAATAGGCATCAACTGAGTTATACATCTTAGTGAAATTGGATTTGTTCCAGAAAACCTGATAAATTCAGATTTTTGTAGGTCCTAAACACTTACTGGGTTATTTTAAGATTGCTCAGCACAGATCATGTTGGCTCCATCACTGTACTCTAATGAAATGCACAAAGGCACAGTGGAAGTTCATCACAAGGTCAAGCTTTCACAAAGGCGTCATATACAGTACTGTATATTGAAGACATACAGTATGCCCTGTTTCTGTATAGTAATCCATTTCAGCGTGACTGAATCCTTTTAACCAGGCTGATTCAAACTGTTATTTGAGAGCATAACAGACAGTTGTACAGTGTATTTTATTGAAGAATGCAAAAGCATGATCTAAGAGCAAATCCCTCCTGTGCTGTGCTTGTATCAAAATCTGCACACCTCTCAGTCCTCCAGTCCTCCTCCTCTAGTTGCTCAGTACACAACAAAGGGAATACTGTAATGATGTTTCATATCTGGCTCTGAATGCCCGAGGCTGGTTTCTGATTATTTGATTGTCATTTTATTGTTCAGAGTTTTGCCATGTACTGGTACATGTGCCCACTTTTTAAAAGTCAATTATTTTGCCCTTCAGACGGACTCTTCTTCATTACATCAGGTCCAAACATTCAATGTGTTTTCCAAAAAGTTCTTAAAGGTTCTTAAATTAGTCTTTTATTATTTCCGCAGTCATGAAAAACCTGGAAATATCAGGCCATTTTCAAACTGTGACATTCCAGCCCGAAAAAGACGGGGAAATTAAAAACATCTTAAAAGAGACATGGAAATGTTCATAGTGAAAATGACTTAAGTTGCAGTCTTTTCTTCACATAAAGTTACCATATGGCTTCAGAAAACAATATAGTCTAGTATAGATTGGTTTTATATATTTATGTAGAATTCAACACAATTCAACACAAAAAAATGCTGGGTTGTTTCAACCCAACGTTGGGTCAAATATGGACTAACCCAGCTGTTGCGTAAAATTTTTAAATTAAAGTTTTAACCCAAAAGTTGGGTTAGTACCACCCCGTTGTGTCAGTATTTCGTTGAACCACCTTTTGCTTTAATTACAGCCTTTAGTCTTTTGGGATTTGTTTCTACTAACTTTGCACGTCTAGACTTTGCAATATTTGCCCACTCTTCTTTTCAGAACTGCTCAAGTTCAGTTCAGTTTGATGGTGAGCGTTTGTGGCAGGGGCGTAGATTACGCGGGGGATGCGAGGGACGTGCCCCCCACCCCCCACTTTTAATATCACATAAATTCGTCCCCGCACTTTTTCGGGCAAGTGTGTTCGCATAGAGGTTTTCAAGAGCCGGTGTGAATAAATATAGATTTAAATTAAAAGAGACAGGATAGTCTGTGCATGATCTGATGTTTTATTCGGACCCAGAATAAGGCGAGATGAACATCAAGGAGCACTAAACATTAAATGCAGTGTATGTTTCATTCATACTCGAAGCCGGAGGGCGCTCTCGCGCAGAAAGTCGTGCGAGGAAAGTCCTAATATGGACAAAAGTGTCCAGCTATCGCTGTACGAAAACGGTTGTTTTCACAGAAAAACACCCTGTTTGTTTTACGTGTTATTTATAGCAAACCATATTACAGATGCGTTGTCAGATTTAACTTGAACTGTGGTCCTAGCGCATGCCGAACCGTGTGTGGAGAACCGAACAGTTCGATTTTTTTCCACAAACCGTTCCACCCCTAGCTCTGACTAGGCCATGCAAGAACATTCACCTTTTTCTCCTTCAACCACTGTGTGC